ATAAAAAAATTATTTATCAATTGCGTAACAATATCGGAATCATCTACGAATTTGAACGGTCGCTCCTGTTCAATAGAGGGTTACGGCTAGGTTACGGCACGATTCCCCGAAAGTTATTCCCCCGACTCGACATCACACGTAGTGACAATTTGCTAAAAATATATACCCACAACTAATCGAACGCTAACCCTATGTGATGTTGGGTAAGTGACCTGTCTTTCGAGGAATTGAGCGACAACCTAATAGAGTTGTACAAGTACATAACATACAAATTTATACGGCCTAGGAGCCGGCCCGCGGGCCTAAACGGACCTTTTTTTAAAAAAAAAAGTTAATTTGGGACATAACTCCCAAAGTATATAAATTACATATGACAAACATTTTGAAACAAACTTCAAAAAAAAGCACGTTTAGGCACGTTTAGGCCCGCGGACCGGCTCGTTCCATGCTCTATTTATACATAGATAATATGTACTATTCTAAAGTTTAATAAATTTTCAGTATTAAAATCTGGCTGGTTGCTTTTAATTCATGGTGATTATTTATTTTATCCAAATCATACATACGTACGTACGTAATAAGACTTGAATGAAGTATTAATTCGGCACAATATTTTCCAAAAACAGAAATTTAAGTTTTTCATCATATCCAACCATTTGACTGTATATGAGTGTCGCTAAAAGAAACCCCGAAATTTAAATATAAGTCATACTTAAATTTTTCGGGTTTTCTTTTAACGAAACTTATATAGTGAATAGAGATATAAATAGAGTTGAAAGTATTGTCAATTAAGTACAAAGAATGCATTACATATTGTTGTGAGGGTTACATAAAAAAAAGATCTTATAACCGAGAATACATGTATATCAATATGGAAATTTTCAAACAAAATTTTTTTTTTTTACTCGATTAGTAAAATTCATTTAGATTTATAATTAGAAATAATCATTAATTACATCAATTATAATCATTTCATATGTAAAATGAAATCTCGGTAAGTACAGAAATAAACTATATAATTTTTTTTATGCAAAGTTAAGACCAAATTTTAATTATGATTCACTTGTTAAAAATTTTAATTCCGGTTCATTTGTTAAATTAATAATAAATAATTTCAAACTTGGTAATTATTCTTATATATAGTAACTATATATTGCCATTTTAATATATATAGAAGTACATTATATTTAGTTATTAGAGTAATTAAGTCTTAAATAACAATAAAAAAAATTTTAACAAATACCGGTACGTAGTTTTGCAAACTCTTCAAGCAAGCATGATTGTGGTACGTACGTACGTACGTACGTAATAGTTTTTTTCATTCAAGATGCTGTGGCAGTACGCATGTATGCGCATGCGGGCAGTATTGATAATCGATCTACTCAATTTACTAACTTTAAAGCTAGGACACCATGATACTGTAGCATGTGAATAAGTGAGTACCTCAAAGTGTAAGCATGAAAATACAAAGATTTGTATTAAGACAAAAAGAATTTAAATCTGACATATTTGTTCGATATCAGATATAGTAAAATAAGTACGTACGTATTATTCTATTTAATGGCTTACTATTAACTACCGGTATACATGCAGCAAAAACTATTTCGGCATGTATACTATTAACAAATATTTTTTTTTACGTGATAATATTATTGATTTTATTTCATAAGCTGAAATAGTAAATTCATTGAATAAAACCGTTATTGCATACTACGTAATCAATAATTGCAGCAGTTTATTCTCTTCTGATCGTTCGGTAACCAAGCCATGCCGGTTGGGGTACCAACCAATCATCATCGTCCATAAAATATAACTATATAATATTTGACTATAAAATACATATACGTAATATTTATCGTAAAACAAAAACACCGCTGACTTAGTTTTAAGTTTACAGTACGTATACAGTATGTGATTACATAAAAGAGAATTTTTCCTTCCGATGCGTATTATCCGCTGAAATATTAATACGTACGTATGTGGTATGTATGTATAATGCTTTACATAATGCAGGTGTTTAAAAATAGAAATTTAATCAACTATTCTTGAATAGAATAGTAATAGGAAAACTGAGGGCGCAAGAAAAGAATCAATTACCAGTAAGCTTCAAGAATCAATTACCAGTAAGTTTCAAGAATCAATTACCAGTAAGCTTCAAGAAAACAATGCTATAAATAAATATTTTGAGACCAATTTTCTAAAGATAAGTACGTATCAGCCAAAAACATTGGAAAAAAATGGAAAAGATTGAAAAGATAGAAAAGATAGCTAACTATCAAAAATAAAAATAATTTCATGTTATTCAATTGACAAAGTTTTAAGTTAACTTTTACGCACTAGCGTACTTATGTACGTGTGTATGTGTATAATTAGTTGAAACATTAACAACTGGACTAGGTTTGAAGTTTATAAATATAGTTAATAAATAGTAAATATAGTAAATAAATATAGTTAATGAAAAATATTATAGAGATTATCGAATAGATAAGTCGCGATCGTCAACCAGTTAACGATTGTCGTGTTGATAAAAAGAAATGTTATTTATTATTACCGATACTTTAGTGTTAGAGTGTGATATATCAATTCCTATATGCTATATTCATCAGTTCTTTGATTGTCGAATATTAAAAAAAGAACTGATACCTATCTAGCCTTTAAAGTTAAGTTCGTGTAACCCTGTAGCAAAAAAATCATCCCACCTACACTACTATCAAGTTGTTTAGTTGCGTTACCAAGTATCGATCTAAAAATTGTGGATGACAATTGTTTTTTAAAAAAATTTTTTGAACTATATAATTTAAATTATATTCAAGAGTCAATGTTTTGCTATTTTTGTTATGTTTTGTTATGTTTTGCTATGTTTTGCTACGTTTCCAATTATTTACCATTTCACCAAAAGGCGTTTCTGTAAACGGCAAGGGTTTACTCAATTTGGTTACTAGGATTATACGTAGAACCCTTTCGTTTGGTGTCTACGAGACTATAATTAAGATATTTCTTTCGAAAAAGAAAGTTTGCTATCAATGCTTATTCATTCGATAATTCAATAATTCAATAATTCAATAATAATAAATAATAAGAATTATGCTTTAATAAGAACTCTAATAAAAATTGCTTAAGTATTTATAAGTGGTTTTTATTATTTCAGCTTAAATGTATTCAAGTTAAATGATCTAGTAAAGTGGCTAATGTCACTAGTCTGAATCACTAGTCTGAAAGTATTATAATATATTTTACAAATTAATAATAATGAAATCACATTTAACGTGATGGAACAAGTATAAAAACAAGAATAACGATAAGTATCACTATAAGAACCAAAGTTACAGCGCAACAAATCCATTTTTTAGTCCTTGTGCTTTTTGCTTCCACATTTGCAACTTGTAAAACTTCGGTTGCTTTTTCTAAATCCACAGCTTGTTGACCTGCATTATCCTCTACTTCTTGTACTATTGGATCGCTTTCTTCAACGTGTAACCGTATCTCATCAAATAATTTAAGCAATTCAGTAATAGTTTTTTCAATATGTTGAATATCACCGTGACGTTTCTGTACTTCTTCTAATGCAGCCTTAGCTTCTCTACTTCTCGCAGAAGTTTGTGAAAAAATCGAACTATTGGATGGATTCTGAAGATAGTTTTCGATTTCCTCTTGTGTAATATCAGGATTTATTAATCGATATTGCCTGATAAATCTTTCCTTTTCTTGTTTCATGTATGAATCTTCTATGTCTCGATAAGTATTCAGAGCTTTTTGAAATTTGCCCTTAAGAACAGCATATCGATTTTCTCGTAAAGTAACATCTGGATGATTGTCTTTTTTAAGTTTTATATTCTCTGATTCAATCTTTCTGATATGATCTTTTGTTTTGGTAAGTAAGTTTATTAATAAGTCCGTGAGTTGGTCGCGTTCTTGAGCAAGTGTTGCCTCTTGCTGTGCTGATGTTGCTATTAATCGTTTTGATTGAATGGTTTGAACTTGTCGAACGTATGAATTAATCTCATCGATTTCTTTTTCGACTTCAATTGCTCCGTTGAGAAATTCTATACTGCTCATGTTTAAAATCTATATTCGTGTTATATATTGAATGTATACGTATGTTATAAATTTTATCAATTTTCAAAAAAAAAAAAAAAAAAAGAACCAAATATGTTCTTAATTGTTTACCATAAGGTTATTTATACTAACTTATATCAAAAAAAAAAAAAAGTCCAGAGTAACTGTTTAACCAATTTTGAAAACTCGTATTGTTTCGACTCGAATGACGAATACGATGAACTACATATATGTATATTCGTAATGTGTATTTATGTATGTTCGTGATCATGGTCACACTGCGATTGAGAATAACTCCGGAATCTCCGGTTTACAAAATTCATATAAGTATTGAAATAATTCACTTCTAACCTTGAATAACCTTGAATATGGAAATCTAATCATTTCAAGAATAATTTGAATAATTTTTCGGACTGAATTTCATATATTGATCCGATCGAACTTTTAGAGCTTTCTTTTTTTTTTTTAGATTATCGAAATTTCTTTTTCTTCTCTTAACTTGATATACACATTCTATTTGCAACCTATTTTTAGTAGTTGAATTCTATTTATAGATATATTTAAATTTAGAAAAATTAAATTTGGTAATCATATCCCCATTTTCTTCAAAAAAAATAATTTATTATAATAAAATACATTAACGTTAATCATTAACGTTAATAACAAAAAACTTTGTTTTTCTTTTCGAGACTGGGCTGCTTAATGTTATGAATTAGACAATTATCTCTTTATGGCAAACATTTTCGGTAAAATACTGTAGTAACAATAAATATTACGTATTAATCGATATAGTTTGTTCACTCTTT